CTTTAACAAAAGACCATTGTTATGCAAACTATATAAAGATTTTTATATAAAGATTTTTATATAAAGATTTTTATATAAAGATTTTTATATAAAGATTCTTATTATGCATACGTTTTTGAAGTCATTTAAAAAACTCGCAGGTCGTGTTTTATTAGGTCTAAAGCCACTCGCGCTGCGCGCTCGTGGCTTTAAACCTAATAAAACACTCCTGCTCGTTTTTTAAATAGTACATAAAACAATTTCTTCGTGTAAAATTACTTTCTATTGTGAAATTTCGAAATATAATTGGTTAGCTATACGTAATGAGATCTAAATATAAGAGGGTCTGAATGGGGTTAACTGACTACTGAAATTTGCCTGAATTTTATAAGCCCTTCTAATAAAGGTGAAGACAAACTATTGTGATATTCTGGCCATTTTTTCCCCAGGGAACTATTATGCATGGTGAAGAATTGTTAAGCCCGCCGCACACTAGAGCTATCAGCTGAGCTGAGCGTCACGCTTGACTGTTGGCGTAAGCAAGTTTCTCAGGTGTGCGGGGACGTTTTGAGAGATTTCCGGCATGCCTGCCATTAGCACTGAATGTTTAACATGTTGAATAATTTTTGACACGAGTGTCGATTATCTTTAAGTGTGCGGGCAGGAAAAGCAAACAGCTTACAATATGATGCCAATACGCATGCGTGCTACATGAATCTTTCAATTAACCAAAATGGCGACAAGTAGCGTTGTGGTATCCGAAGCATTGTTGGAAGACAAAATCGCCGATATTTGGCCGGATTACCCTTGCCTTTATGACGTGAGGAGTCGCGATTTTAAAAATAAAGATTTTCGTGATAAGTCGATGCAAGAAATAGCCGAAAAACTTGGACAAACTGGTATGTTTATTTTATTTACAAGTTCACTGTTCACATTTTATATTTTAATAGTTGGAGTTAAAACGGAAAACTCTATTACGCTCTATCTATATGGTATTGAGCACTGTTTGTGTTTCGTAAACCGAAAACTTAAGCTATACCGGGTGGCGCAAAAAAAAGTTCACGCGTTTGATTTAGTACAGCGAAAAAACTATAAGTGTTACGTTCCTCAAATAAATGTTATCCTATCCAGGAAGGCCTAACTTAAATTTTGATGTATAACACATGCATTTTTGTTTAGTATTACCCAAGATATTGGTAAATCAATTTGAATATGCAATTTCAAAACATTCCAAAATTAGCTGAAAATAGCCTATTAAATACGAGTAAAGGAATTAACGATATATGAAGAACACAACGGCAGTAAATAACGCGTTTATCATGGAAAATTAAATAACTATATTCTTGCGCGTGTGACCATACTATCGAACGAATTAACGTTGGATTTATTTGCTGGTCAAAGTTATGGCAATCAGCAATAATCGCTTCACGAAGCTGTCTCAAATTGTTCGGTTGTTGATCTAATTTAATTCCCTGTAGCTATGGGACATGGAATACTGCGAAGCAATTCTTAATTAAAAGAGCCATCTTTTTCGAAATTTTGTTGCTTTTCAAATGATAGTAAAACAAATAAATAAATAAGGAAAATCATTCGTTACACGTTTCAATTCAAATTAAATTCATACAAGCAAATATGTCTGACGAAATTCTAAAATTTATCAAAACAGTTTAATAGGCCATTTTTAGCCAATTTGTCAGATTTTCAAAACTTCGTTCCAAATTCTATTTGGCGATATCCCAGTCAATATTGCACGTAAATAAACATGCTATAGCTCAAAATTTAAGTTAGACTATTATGAATACAGCTATAGGTTTATTTCAGGGATGTAACCCTTATAGATTGTTCGCTGTACTAAATCAAACAGTTATACTTTTTTTTGCGCCACCCGGTATATATATCTCTATATATATCTCTATATATATATATATATATATATATATATATATATATATATATATATATATATATATATATATATATATATATATATATATATATATATATATATATATATATATATATAAGATATATTCGTAAATAATGTGGTTTACGAAACGCAAAGAGTGCTCGATAACATATAGATAGAGCGTAATATAGTTTTCCGTTTTGACTCTAACTATTAAAATATAAAATGTGAACAGTGAACTTGTAAATAAAATAAACATACCAGTTTGTCCAAGTTTTTCGGCTATTTCTTGCATCGACCTATCACGCAAATCTCTATTTTTAAAATCGCGACTCCTCACGTCATAAAGGCAAAGGTAATCCGGCCAAATATCGACGATTTTGTCTTCCAACAATGCTTCGGACACCACAACGCTACTTGTCGCCATTTTGGTTAATTGAAAGATTCATGTAGCACGCATGCGTATTGGCATCATATTGTAAGCTGTTTGCTTTTCCTGCCCGCACACTTAAAGATAATCGACACTCGTGTCAAAAATTATTCAACATGTTGAACATTCAGTGCTAATGGCAGAAATCGGAAATCTCTCAAAACGTCCCCGCACACCTGAGAAACTTGCTTACGCCAACAGTCACGCGTGACGCTCAGCTCAGCTGATAGCTCTAGTGTGCGGCGGGCTTTAAAAATTTACACCTGCTTGACTTTATTGTAATCACTTTATTGTCCCCGAGCCGATGGCGCGAAGCGCCGTGCGAGGGTACTAATTCCCCCCGGCTATATACACCCGGGGAAACGAAAGCATTAGCGACATAGAGATTATAAATAACACTAGAGGAGGCATCGAGTTTAAAAATTGGGAACGCAGCTAATGGGGGACAAATTCAAGTCCCGGATATAAAATCGTGCTCTCATTGGCTGATTTGAAACTCGTCACCAATGGGAACACGAATACACATCCGGGACTTGAATTTGCCCCCCAATAGTCGCGTTCCCTTTTTTTTAATGAATTAAGATTACAATGCCTCCTCTAGTGTTATTTATAATCTCTATGATTAGCGAAGTCTAAAGTTCATCAATCATCGCGGGCGCTAACCAACGAGCGACGATCTTGAGTGGGTGGTCATCCTCACTTATCTCAAAAATATGGCAAGCAAGATTTCAATTTAAAAGACATATATTTGGAAAATCGTTTCATATACAACAAGCTTGAAGCAATTTTTTTTGAAGAAATGAGAAGTATTGGTTTATCGGGAAATTGTGAAATATACGACAAGTTTGCTTTGAGTATTTTTAAAATGTTTACGCCGAATTTTGTTGCTTTAACTTTTTACGTAATAAAAAATATGAACTATAAAAGCTCTAAGTTTCATAAATTACCGTTTAATTTGAGAAAAAGTCTTAAAATGTAAAGGCGAACTAATTGATTTGAAGACTGAACTGAAATTACCTAACAATTAATTTTGTTTTATTTGTATTAAACTTATCATGTTTTGTTAAGTAAAACTGTTTATCGGCATAATGTAGTTTACTTGAATGAACATTTCAAAACATTTTACGAAGAGTTTCAAGTTAAATTTTACCTTAGATCAAAGCTCACAAAATGCAAAATAATATACCTACAGTATATATTTCGGAAATTTATTTGCAGTTTTGAACAAAATATATGAAAATAAAAATTTAAGAATATCGTGTTGTCATGGCAACACTTGAGCGCGAGCCTGCGTTCAGTGCTGGTCATTTCTGAATACTTCATGTTTAATATATGGAAATATTGGCGAGGGGTTACTGCATGCATGTATTTCTAGTAATAGATTTTAAACGCGGATAAAAGATTTTTACTGAATACCGGTGAGAAGTTGTCTCCAAATGTGGACACGAGAACAAATACTATCCCGAAATTGAAGTGACAAGTGAAATCTTCAGAAGATAATAAGGAGTTCAGATTTGACTTGCACTACTGATATTGCTATACCATAACCATGAATGCATGTAGTGAAATTACCCGAACTGAATTCCATTCCATTCCGATGGAACAACTTCGAAGAGATTTTCCCTATTAAAAATTTCCTATGTCGACTTTACAATTACAGGGGGATGCATGGCAATTCGAATAATTTTGGCTGGGATTTATCAATCCCTGTGGATTTACAAGGGTTTAACGAACGAAGGAACTTATGAACTTTCGATACAGAAATAGTTTGAAAATTAAATCTACTTGATGTATTCATAAAGTTGTCTCTGAAATTAACGTCGCTACTATATCAACACTGTTAGCAATACAGGGCCAATATTAGTGGAATAAGGCTGTTAGATACAGATATTGCACAGCACATTGCCTACAGGGTATTTCAGTGACTGGTTACATTAGAACCGGAACTGGCATGAATCAGACCGAGGTAGACTGCGAGCTTACAAATGGCGCTTGAGCAGCCGTTATCAGGCCATACCTCATTAGCGATCTGTCCCCTGACCTATGTGTGTAACCCACTAGTAGTGTATATATACAGGTTAGGAGCACTTTTCGCAATTGCGCCCAGTTTGCCGCAAATTAGGCTTGCCCAGACATGCCCAAAAATTCTCCTTCCCCAGAATTTCAATTTCCAAAAACTATGACGTCACTTCCGGTTTCTATGACGCCATTTTCGGTTTCCTATAAGTCCCATCAGCACGCTCATTTCCGTCCGGCCATCTCGGAATCATCTTCCGCAGGACATCTTTTCCACATCTTCCGTACCCTGGTTTTTCCGAATCTCCGCCAAAAGAAAAAAATTTAGGGAAACCCCCAAGAAAATTCTCCCTCAAATTTCGTCCGAATCTCCGCCCCAGCCGGTCCCCGGAATCTTTTCCAGACTCCGAATTCTTTTCTATCCTCAAAAAATCCTTTCTCCGGAATTCCTCTCCCGGGGATCCTCTCTTGGAACTTCCGGGAATCCCGGTCTACCTCCGCCCCGCGCGCCCGCGACATGCTTCCCGAAATCTTCCAAAGTTCTTCCAAAGGTCTTCCCGAAGGTCTTCCCACCGGTAAACGGTTTAGAGGCAGGGTTTTAGAAAAAGACAACATGAGAGACCAAGACATGACTGGAAAGAACAGCTTTACTTTAGTTGTTCGAGGAGGATGGTGGAGCGGATTTGCCGCGGATATCTTGAAGGTACCGACCGTTCGGACGTGTCCCTTGTTTTATGGAAAAGAGGTTGGTCGAGCGGTCACACGGCTAGATATAAGTTTGAATTTGGAAAGGGGCGGATGGGAAGGAACGCCGGGATTCAGTACGTTCTCCACCGCTATACCGGATACGTTAAGGGAATTCATATTCTCATTACTGCATCCGCTGGGGCAGATATATGGGACTGTTGGCTTAAATCCTCAACGGATCTGATTCACCTCGGAAGACGTACAGACGTTTCGGACTGGAATATAAAGTCAGGCGCTCTTATGGAAGAGGAGGAGATTGAGGACGAATAAATCGAGGAATTCAGCGAACCGGACGAGGAGGAGATAGATAGATATAATTAAAAAGTTTACATTGCAGCTCATCAATGCTGAATTGCGTACTAATCTATTTACAATATAATATATATATATATATATATATATATATATATATATATATATATATATATATATATATATATATATATATATCGGGTGTCCCAAAAAAAAGTACTCCGGTTTGATTCGTAATAACTTCTAAACAAGTAAAGCTTTTAAAGAGAAATAACTTGCATCAAATAGAGGAAGGACTAACTTAGATTTTGATATGTTAGACTTGTATTTCACTTAAAAATCTATTTACAATATTATATATATATATATATATATATATATATATATATATATATATATATATATATATATATATATATATTACAACAAAGAGATGGCTACGTATCGAAGAATTTATTAAAGATGACTAAAGTAAAGTATCGTATATATATATATATATATATCGGGTGTCCCAAAAAAAAGTACTCCGGTTTGATTCGTAATAACTTCTAAACAAGTAAAGCTTTTAAAGAGAAATAACTTGCATCAAATAGAGGAAGGACTAACTTAGATTTTGATATATTACAATTGTATTTCACTTAAAAATTCACGGAGACATTAATGTTTAAAATCGGGAGCATATTTCTGAATGTGTCTGGAATATGCAAAAAAACGGCGTATCAAATATTAATCAAGATTTGCCCAACTGAAACATGCAGTAAATAAATGCAAACCTTACCAGTAAATAAATGCAAACCTTACTGTAAACTCTAAACTTGAACCTTAAATCTAACGTTCATGTGAAATTCTTTCACATGTGAAATTTCACTTGTTATTTATAATTTCATGTGAACTCCTTTCACATGTGAAATTTCACTTGTAATTTCATGTGAAATCTTTTCACATGTGAAATGTCACATGTGATTTCATGTGAAATCCTTTCACATGTGAAATGTCACATGTAATTTCATGTGAAATCCTTTCACATGTGAAATGTCACATGTGATTTCATGTGAAATCTTTTCACATGTGAAATCTCACATGTGATTTCATGTGAAATCTTTTCACATGTGAAATCTCACATGCATGTGATTTCATGTGAAATCCTTTCATTTGTGAAATTTCACATGTGATTTCATGTGAAACTTTCTCACATGTTAAATTTCACACAAGATCACATAATTTCACATGTCATCACATGATTTCACATGAAATCACATGTGTGAATTCATGTGGATTTTTTGTAAGATGTCCTCACTACAACACAAGTATGACCGCAATGATAATAAACAAGTAGAACGCTTTGATGTTCTTATGCTTGTGTTTTCACTATGTCCTCACTACAACGTAAGTATGACCGCAATGATAATAAACAAGCAGAACGCTTTGATGTTCTTATGCTTGTGTTTTCACTATGTCCTCACTACAACGTAAGTATGACCGCAATGATAATAAACAAGCAGAACGCTTTGATGTTCTTATGCTTGTGTTTTCACTATGTCCTCACTACAACGTAAGTATGACCGCAATGATAATAAACAAGCAGAACGCTTTGATGTTCTTATGCTTGTGTTTTCACTATGTCCTCACTACAACGTAAGTATGACCGCAATGATAATAAACAAGCAGAACGCTTTGATGTTCTTATGCTTGTGTTTTCACTATGTCCTCACTACAACGTAAGTATGACCGCAATGATAATAAACAAGCAGAACGCTTTGATGTTCTTATGCTTGTGTTTTCACTATGTCCTCACTACAACGTAAGTATGACCGCAATGATAATAAACAAGCAGAACGCTTTGATGTTCTTATGCTTGTGTTTTCACTATGTCCTCACTACAACGTAAGTATGACCGCAATGATAATAAACAAGCAGAACGCTTTGATGTTCTTATGCTTGTGTTTTCACTATGTCCTGACTACAACGCAAGCATGACCGCAATGATAATAAACAAGCAGAACGCTTTGATGTTCTTATGCTTGTGTTTTCACTATGTCCTCGATACAACGCAAGATAAAGCGCAATGATAATAAACACGCAGAACGCTTTGATGTTCTTATGCTTGTATTTTCACTATGTCCTCGATACAACGCAAGTATGACCGCAATGCAATGATAATAAACACGCAGAACGCTTTGATGTTCTTATGCTTGTGTTTTCACTATGTCCTTGATACAACGCAAGTATGATCGCAATGATAATAAACAAGCAGAATGCTTTGATGTTCTTATGCTTGTGTTTTCACTATGTCCTCACTACAACGCAAGCATGACTGCAATGATAATAAACACGCAGAACGCTTTGATGTTCTTATGCTTGTGTTTTCACTATGTCCTCACTACAACGCAAG